ATTACGTTTTTTTTTTTTTTTTTTTACTGCACATTTATGCTTGAAAAAGAAATAATTATTGGTTCTAATAATAATTGAAAAGGGTTGCTCTGATTAAGAACAAGCAAATATTTGATGAAATTCTGATCAAGATAAGTGAGAAATTCTTCAAAAAATACTTACATAAAAAAAAAAAAAATGGGTGGGGGTGAGGTCTTTATTTCCTTAAAACAAAAAAAAATTAACTTCATTGTATTTTTAAAGTGATTTTTTTACTGAACATTTACACTTGAAAATGAAATAATTAATGTGGTACTTATAATAATTGAAAAAGGAATGTTGGTTAAAATCAATCAAATATTTGATGAAATTCTGATCGAGATAAGTGATAAATTCTTCAGAAATGCTTAAATAAAAAAATGGGTGTTGAGTTTCCTTAGCAGTAGCTGTAAGTAGTAGATTATTAAATGAATAAGTATGAAAGTACCAATTATCAGTCAATTTATTGATGGAATGTGTGAGTAAAATTGTTAAAAATAATAAAAAAGTAAAAAGGTGAGTGTCAAGTTAGCCCAGTAGTAGTGATCACAAGCAGCCATCATTGGCCACCTGATGTGATCTGAGGTTTATACCTAAGCTGCTTTAGGCTCAGTAGGCTGATACCACTGAGCTATGGCTCACCCTGGAAATTACCGTTGATATCTAATATCATTAATCTACTGACTTGTGGTGCAATACAAGGAGGAAGTGATGTCATTTAACTTGTAAGTTTGTCCAGTGGCCACTAGATGTCACCACATGTGGAGTGGTGTAGTTTGACTTGTCTCCACCAGATGTCAGCAGTGTACAGCACTTTTTGGATTTCACAACACAGTCAGTGTATTGATATAGATAAAACACGGCAATAGTAATTGAAGGTGAGCCGTGGTCTAGTGGAATAACCACTGAGACTAAAGCATTGGACTGCTCCCCATACAAGCCCTAACACTAGGGTGGGGAAATCTGCTGGACTGACTTGACACTCACCTTTTTTTTCACCTTAAAATGATTTTAGTTGAAAATAATATCAAATAGCTTCTAAAATGTCAAAAATTAGTAAATGATAGTTATAAATTGGATTAAAGGTTAAAGTAGTAAGATTTTTTTTGAGCATATAAAATGATTTGTTTTTTCTTTGTGATACAGTATTTCTAGCCAATTATAGTGACATCAGGATGGGCAGGGTCTTCATTTCCCTAAAACAAAATAAACTCATTACGTTTTTTTTTTTTTTTTTTTACTGCACATTTATGCTTGAAAAAGAAATAATTATTGGTTCTAATAATAATTGAAAAGGGTTGCTCTGATTAAGAACAAGCAAATATTTGATGAAATTCTGATCAAGATAAGTGAGAAATTCTTCAAAAAATACTTACATAAAAAAAAAAAAANTTTTTGCACATCATATTGACTTAAATGCAAACTATATATTGTAAAACTATTTTAGTGCCCAAGAAGACCATGAGGCAGAACGGATAGCAAGGGAGCAGAAGATCCGAGGTCTCGAAGAGGAGCTGAACGGCTGCCAGGGGAGGAGGAAGACCACAGAACACGAGGTGGAACAGTTCAGGGCGGCTGTCACCAAGTATAAAGAGGAAGGGTACAGACTCAGGTAAAATAAAAACCAAGTTCTCAGTTCTGAGGTGAAATTGCATTTGAAAGGGTCAAATATTTTGACCCACTGCAAAGCTTGCCGTCTAATCCGCCAATAGACATTGACTAGATATCCCGTCGGGGGAAGTATTTAAGTGGGTCAACCATATTTGACCCAGGGACTATTTAGTCCCCTATTCTGAATTGGGCCTAAGATTATAACAGTTAAACATGTTATTTGCTCACATAAACTATTAAGTGTGTGGTATTATAATAATAATAATATAAGCTATGTTCACAAGGAAAGAAAAGTATTTGGCATAGTTATCTTTTCTCTGGTCTTGATGTTTTAGATTTCTTCATCAGAATCCATTTAAAAGGTATTTTATGTTTCATATGAACATGATATTATTGTGAAACTTGGTGGTCAAAACAGTTTCAGAGGATTTATTTTATTTTTCTCCCCAGCAATATGGAAAAAGAGGTTAGACATACGCTGGAAGAAAAGAAAAATCAGCTCAGAAATCTGCAGGATGCGAGAAGCGATAGATTAAAAAGGTTTGGTGCGTGGGTACCCACCCTGCTAGAGAAGATAGAGGTGGCACATAGGCAGAATAGGTTTCACCAAAAACCCAGAGGACCATTGGGTAAGTATGCATTAGCAAATAAATTTACAGATATCTTTGAAATTTTTCCAAACTTTTTGAAGTAAGAAATTAAAAAATACTGGTCTGTAATTGTGTGTGTGTGTGTGTGTGTGTGTGTGTGTGTGTGTGTGTGTGCATGTGTGTTAAGGGTGGGGAGCTGTAATTTACTCTCACTGGGTCAAAATGGATCACAATAGGATTTATTCACACTTGGGAGACTTCATTAATGCTGTCTACCTTAAAGAAATGACCCAAATCTTTCCCAGGGGCTTGTATCCAGTTAAAGGACCCGTCCTGCGCTCTTGGTGTCGAGTGCTGCCTCAAGAATCTCATGCATTCCTATTGCTGCACAGACTATCACGACGAGAAAATCCTCAACCAAATCATGACGCAAGTTTGCCCCAAGGGCAGGCCCAAACCTACTATCATAGTCAGCAGGTTCTTGGTAAGACTTTCAACTCGCTTTCTCACTTTCTCTATTTCTCTCCTTTAATCTCTCTGTCTTTATCTCATTGATTCATTTCATTTAATAATACATTCTTTAATGTATTTCCTCTAGTACCACTTTTTACTTAATTTGTGTAAAATCTAAAGCTTCATAAAGTGAGATTCTTGGCAATTGTTTACAACGTATTATCATCATTTTATCTTGTATTCTAAAGCATAACTGAAGCGATATGGCATTGATATAATTTTGTTACTTTAATTTGATTTCAGGAACATGTGCATGATGTTAGCCAGTTTGTAAGTACTTATTACATGAACATTAAGTTATATCCTTAGATGCATATTGAACATGCTTTTTTGTAATACTTTGAGGTAAACCCTCTCTCCAGTAATAATTTCAAATTTAATACATATCTGTCACCTTTTTGAAAAGAAGATTAGGTTTTTATCCTTGTTTAAAGAGCTCGTAAGAATAAGATTACATTTTGTTTTAAAACAATCTAAAAAATTGAAGACGTTGGCAGTCAGAATTCTGCATGTCAACATGTCATATACAGTACAGAGTACATAAGCTGTACATTTGCAATATCATTCATTTTCAATGTCCCACCTTTTGGTTCTACCCCTAAATGTCAGTTAATAAGAGACATCGGTCGTAGTTGTCTATTTTTATTTATTTCTTTTCTCTACAAATAAAAAATAAGTAATATAATTTGTAGCGGTCGCGCTGTGAGTTTCCCACTGTCCTGGACATGTTGGAGTTGGATGATCCTGTTGTTGCCAACGCTCTGGTGGATCAGGTCAGATACACTTTGTTTATTTATTTATTGATTTAGAGGTATATACACAGTAGAAAAAAAATCAAAATCTCTACAGTTAAACCAATATCTCTTAAGTCATCCTAGAAATTTGATGCTAGATGTTCACATAAGAATATATTAACACAATGCTATGCAGCAGCAAGCATGGTGTTTGCCAATTAACTATCTTGAATGTCTTCATTTGAGTTTATTATATGGAAATGTCATCCACATATATTTAACCATGTGCACAGAAATTGTTTTGTAAGATTTTAACTTTGTATACTTCAGCGAGGCATCGAGAATGTGATATTGATCAAAAATGCCGTCCAGGCTCGACAGTTCATGGGCAAGAATAAGGATCGGAATACAAAAGAGGTAGATAATTGCATGATATGAGTACTTTAAAAAAAATTGCCTTTGGGAGCTATTTAGTACCACCAGCGTGTACGCTGGCGGTACTCATGGTTTTAGTCCCGACCCGTATCGTACGGCTCCGCCGGCTCCACAGGGTGGCGTGGGATACAAGTCGCCGTTACCGCTTCTCCTCCTAGACCACACAGACCTGTGTCCCCATCTCTTGGATTTAGGTCACATATAATCTCAACTTGAACCCTCTGGTTTTTTTGTCTCAGTCGGTGCATTCGCTTGGGCGTGACACTCGATGAAATGCACCCTTATCAAATTCAATGCTATATATCTCCTAAACGGAAGGAATTATGGGAAAAATTAGTATAGAAGTCTGACCGAAAGTCATATATGAGGATTTCAAATATGCCTACGGATTTGACCTTTGACCTTTTTTCAAGGTCAAACAGGCCAAAATTTTCTAAAAATGGGAATTTTTTGCAAAAAAACTTTTATTTGTGCCAAATTTCAGAAACTACACAGAGTTTAGCACTTATATTATAGTGAGGGGATGCAATTAGTGACTCCTTTCATCTTTGGGAGTTTGGGGTCAATCATTGGTGCATTTTCAAGGGAGAAACGGCCATAACATGCCGAAACTGAAAACTGTCCCTAAATCTGGAACCGTAAGTGCTAGAGACCTCTTGTTTTTTGCATTATGCAGAGCTTGTCAAGTGCAATACTGGAGGTGGTGCCCATTTTTTTTGTTTGCGATACGGTCAAGGAGTTGCACTATATATAAAAAAGTACAACTGAGCAATATTCAATGGTGAAAATAAAATGTGAAATACTCCAAAAGTAGCTGAGATACACCCATGGTTACTTTTGAACTTGAATAGGAAGTCATATACTGGCAATGTAACTGTGACCTTGAAATTGACCTTCGACCTACTTTTCACCATGAACTGAACTTTGCAATTTTTCTATCCCTTATATCTCCAAAACTAGCAGAGATAAACCCATAGTTACTATTGAAGTTGAATAGGAAGTCATATACTGGCAATCTAACTGTGACTTTGAAATTGACCTTTGACCTACTTTTCAC